AACACACTTAGTATGATTTCAGTTCTTTTAAATTTATTGAAGCTATTTTTATGGCCCAGTATGGTTTATCTTGATATATGTTCCATGGGCAGTTGATAAAAATGTAGATTCTGTGGTGGTGGGTGAAATGTTCTATAAATGTGGATTATATTCTCTTGGTTGATGGTGTTGGGTTTTTCTGTATCCTTATTAATTTTCTGTCTAGTTGTTCTATCAATTATTGAGAGAGGAATGTTGAAATCTCCAACTATAACTGTAGATTTTTCTGTTTCCCTTTCAGTTCTGTCAGTTTTCATTCTGCATATTTTACAGCTATATTTGGATGCACATGCATTTAGGATTGCTTTGTTTTCTTGGTAGATTGACCTTTATGTCCCTTTCTGTCTCTAGTAATTTTCTTTGCTGTTAAGTTTACTTTCTCTGATATTATTATAACTATTCCTGCTTTCTCTGGATTAATGTTTGCATTATATATCTTTTTTCATCCTTTTGTTTGCAACCTGTCCCTATTAAATTTGAAGTGAATTTCTTGTGGACAGCATAAACTTGGGTAATATTTTTTAATCTCCTCTGCCAATCTCTTGATTGGCGTATTTAGACTACTTATATTNGGAACAATTCATATTATCTTTTAATTCCATTTTTCCATGAACATTTTGCAGTACCCTGGTACATTTAGAACCATATTAAGTGGTTTTAAAATTTTTGCCTCAACTGGTAAACGTAATTTGAGAAATTCAAAAGAAAGAAAGTATATTACACTTGCTCAGATTTTTTATTACTTGTTTTTCTTCCTTCTTGATGTTCCAAGACTTCTTATCATTGTTTTTTTTTTCTATTTAGAAACCTTAACCATTATTTTAGATAGGTCTGCTGGCAACAAATTCTTTTCGTTTTCCTACATTTGACAATGTCTTGATTTCCTTTTCATTCCTGAAGTATATCTTCACTAGATATAGGTTTCTGGATTAACAGTTCTGTTTTAGCACTTGAAAAATTTTATGCCACTTTCTAGCTACGATGGTTTCTGATGAGAAATCTGCTGTCATCCTAATTGTTTTTCCCCTATACATAAGATGTTTTTCACTTGCTGCTTTCAAAATTTGTCTTCAGTTCTTAGATGTTTGACCGTAATGTATTTTGATGTGGGTTTCATTGGGTTTGTGCTGTCTGGGGTTTGTTCACCTTCTTGAATTTGTAAATTTGTAACTTTTGCCGAANTTGTTTTCTGTTTGCTCACTGTTTTTGTTTCTCTGTTTTCTTTTTCCTGACTTTCTGGGGATTATTTGAATTTTTTTTAGAATTCTATTTTGATTTATCCGTAGCATTTTTATCTCCTTATGTATCCTTTTTAGTGGTTGCTCTAAGTGTTAAATGATATATACATTCTTTATCACAATCTAATGCTGTCAACATATTACCAGTTTGAGTGAAGTATAGAAAGCTTACCTCCTTCATACAAGGGTACTTCAAAATGTTCATGGAACAATTCATATTATCTTTTAATTCCATTTTTCCATGAACATTTTGCAGTACCCTGGTACATTTAGAACCATATTAAGTGGTTTTAAAATTTTTGCCTCAACTGGTAAACGTAATTTGAGAAATTCAAAAGAAAGAAAGTATATTACACTTGCTCAGATTTTTTATTACTTGTTTTTCTTCCTTCTTGATGTTCCAAGACTTCTTATCATTGTTTTTTNTGAGACTCTAAATTTATTTAAACCTTCTCTTTTAGCTGGTTCTTTCTGACAATGTTCCATCAGGAGAAGTGGGGAGAGGAGTGCCACCTCATTACTGCCAGGAGGAGGCAGAAGTTCAGGTTCCTCACTCTGATATGGGGGTAGGGGGAGAGAGGTCAGGGAGCTCCTTGTTACTGATGGGAAGGGGTAGGAGTTCTGGCTCCTTATTAGGTTCCATTGATAACTCCCTGGCTGGGGGGCACTAGAGTGCCTCATTACTGCACACCATGTGGCCTCTACTGACACCACAGGAGGGAATGTGACCTAATTATCATGGGGCAGAAATGCAAGTCCTGTATCTCTACTAGGCCTCCCTTGATACCACCCCAGAGGAGAGGGAGAGGGGCATCTCATTACTGCCAATTAGAGTGGAAGCCAGACTCTCCGTGTGGTTTCCAGACACTTGCTGGTGGGGGCAGGGGGGTATCTCATTACTGCTTGGAAGGGATGAAAAACCCTGCTCCCCAGTATTGGGGAGTATTGGTGGGGGTGTTATAGCACCTTATTGCAGCCCACTGAAGGTGGAAGTCTAGGCTTCCTACCTGGCCTGAGCTGATGTGGGTGGGATAAAGTCCACAGATTCTTCTGTGGTGTTTTCCTGGAGTACAGTGGTTATTGTCTAAATGTCTTGCAGACTGCTTCTTTCCTAACCCTTTGACCAGAAAGTCCAGGCTTGGGGGAAGGGGGGGGGGGGCTTTTTTTTTGACTGCCCCATTTGGCACTTGCAGGTTGTCAGCTTCTTCAGGTTCATGTCTATATAAAGGCAAAACGAAAAACACACAGCCAATTCACCCCTATTTTGTTTCTCAGGTCCCAAGGTCCCTAGCCAGTCTGCCTTCTCTCCAACTTTCAGAGTTGTCTTATGTTTGTTTTATATATAATGTCCCAGGTTTCTAGTTGTGCTTAGTGAGAGGAGTAGGGAAAAGCATGACAACTCTATCTTACTGGAAGCACAAGTCCTAAACAAACTTGTTGCATGATATACTTATAGAATTCCCTATTTCTTTGACTGTTTAAAGGCATTTTATAGCAGCCATCAAGATGGGTATAACCTCACAATCATGGCTGGTTTCATGACTAGCACGGTCTCTGGTACATTCAATAAATGTTTATTAAATGAATACCTACCATTTAATTAGAATTGTAACTTCTAAGATTCCAAATTATAAATAAGTTTGAAGTTGTTATTAGAAGATGACTAAATAGTTAGGCATGGATTTTCATGCAGTTAACTGGTTGGAGGGTATGGAGTTAGTGTTTCATGACTAAAATGAGTTATGAAGAACTATAACTGAAAGTATCTTCCCTGGAATGTATGAATAATGATAATCACAGCAATATCTGAAAAATTGTGACCTTCAATTAATTTTTGGTATTGTCTAGGTAGTTTATTTAGTGAAAAAAAAGTTGTTTATAAAGCCTTGAAATAACAAAGAGCATTCTTGTTAATGCTTTTAGACATTGTTTATAAAGCTGTGAAGTAATAAAGAGAATTCTTGTTAATGCATTCTTGTTTTTAGGTGCTTCTGAAAGACTAGTTGCCTGAATGTTGGGCTAACCCAAAACCTCTACTATATTGTTTGTTCTATGTGACCATTCAGCAACAGATACAAAGGAGTTTTAGCAAAAAAAGGTAGTTTATATCCTGTTATTACGAAATCAAAGATTCTCTGAAGTATAGACAATTATACTTTTAATTAATCATTACTTCTAAGAAAAGTATGGACTGTAACATCTAGAGTGAGACTAGCATAGCAAATAGAAAAGAACTCATGCTTTCCTTCGCATATGGAGGAGGTAACTTTTAAAATGTCAGTAGTTATAACAAATATATGGGATAAGGAAAAAAAGAGAAGGGAGGAATAAATGCACAAAAGGGGAAAACGTATGCATGTTTGGAATTTTTTTCATGATGGTGGCCTACACTTTAGCCTTGAGTTTCCTACTTAGTTTCAACTCCACATAAGCTTCATAAAAATTTAATGCTTTTCAGAGACACTTTAAATAATAATTGATGAGCTATTAAGGAAAATGTAGACATCCAGTTTATCTTTTCTGTGTTGGTTATCAGAAAGCTCAAACTAAATACATAGTATTTATGTTAGTCTGTAGTGTACATGATTAGTGTTTGCTTATTCTTCCTTTTATGTGCTGTTCAATTTCTATGTTCGATAACTTTATTCTATACAAGTCTCTTCTATGAGATGCTGAACCTTTTTAGAACTAGCCGGGATAGAGTAAATAATGTGGTACATGTTCCTACATCTGGATGAAGAGAAACTCAGTCAGTCCTACATTTATAACAGGTGAAAAATGTCAGTTATTCAGAAAGGCTTTTCACTTCCTTGGCTTCTCTTCTCTCTTGCCCCAAGTTAGATCACAAGTATCATAGGTTCAGAAATTTGTTAATTCTCTGTGATTGCCCTTTTTAAACTGCAGAATGCATAACTCCTATAATTTCCTTTTAGAGTCTTTTAGAACTCTGAATATCTTTCATGAGGGTTATCAATAGTGTTAACAATTAGAACCTTCACATTCATGTAGAGTTAAAAAAGATCATTAGTAGCACAGGTCAAAGTTAAATTAGCAACCAGTGGAACAGTTAACTCAAGTAATTTTAGGAAGACACCTTAAAACCTTACTAGGAATGGGGCTTTAACAAGTGGCTCTGCAAGGTAGCAGAGCAAACTGACTTAAAACTGGAGATTTAGCTAACTAAATCTAAATAGGGCCTTCAAGTCCTATAGCTAGCATTAGAAACTCTAATTCTAAACTTTGAGGTTCTGTTGTCATTAATAATCTGGGAGTTTGGGTGGTGGCATATAATTACTTATAAAGTTAGAAATTTTAAAAATTGGAACAGTGATTACCTAACTCTGCAGCTAGCCTAAAAATATTTGTTTATAAATTGACAAACTTTTTTTAACTTTTAATTCAGGTGACTAATAAACGTTCCAAAAGAATATGGCTGCACAAATACCAGAATCTGATCAGATAAAACAGGTAAGGTATTATAATTAAGAAAAAGAATTTCATAAAAAAATGTAAGGCACTACTGGATGCAACCATGTCAGTCAGTGATCTCACCAAAAAAAGTTTATGTTTCCAAAAATGTGTAATAAATTATATGAAGCATATATATTTTTCATTTGACCAGATAATCAAGGAAAATGAATATTCAACTAGAAAATAAGACTACGTATTTTGTAGATCATATTACACCCATTAAGTTAGCAAAAGAACCTATGATTTTAAGTATTATAGGATATTTTGTCTAAGTACAAAACATCAGTGATTAAAGTTTCAAAGCATCTTTGTTTTAAAAAACCAAATAATAAGGAACTTTCTAATTTGTTTGTAGTTTAAGGAATTTCTTGGAACCTACAATAAACTTACAGAAACCTGTTTTTTGGACTGTGTTAAAGACTTCACAACAAGAGAAGTAAAACCTGAAGAGGTATGAAAAGTGTTGCTCACTAAAATTTCTCAAAATTTGTCAAAAATAATATAAATAGGATCCCCACAAGCATTTTACTTGTTCCTCCTTATTCCAGGAATTTGGGCTGTCTTTTATGTTCCATTGCTTGGAGGAACTGAAACAACCAAGAACCCATGGTATTGAGTTTAAGGATGCCATATTTAATATGACAGTCACATTGTACCAAAGCAGACCATTTTAGGGAAGATGCCTGGGACTACTGACTTCCACAGCAAAGATTCTTACTAATCTGCTTTCAGCCAAGATGGCCTTTCTGTCTGGTCCTGAGAACTCAGATTGACTTTGGAAAAAGCAAAGCTTGAATTTAGTGGCTCGTCTTGCATAGGTGGACTCAGAAAACTCAATCCTTTTAGAAGTCTCTTACCTTTTAATGTCCTCATCAAAACATTTATATATTGCTCAAAATGACATAAACTTCCTCCAGTGGAAGATGTTGATAAACATCCACACCATAAATTTAGCATATAACCAGCAATCAATAAGTACTTGTTAAATAATTGACAAAGTTTAGAGGGATGCTAAGTGTAATTAATATTCTTGTTAAAAAGTAAGAGGTTGAAAATTAATGTTGAGAATGGAGTATCTTATTAAAGGGAACAAATTTGCTACTGGGTCTACATTTTAACAATCTAAATAAGAGAGGAATGTGGGTGTTCAATTAATATTGAAACATACCTGCAGAAAATCTAGTCCAGAAGCTTCATGAGGGCAGGGACTTACTCACCATTGTTCTTAGTGCCTACAAACTGACAGGCATTCAGTATGTATTAATTCTTGTCAGTGGATGAAAGCATCAATGATCAAAAGCTATAGTCACTTACTACCCATTAATACTATTTAATTCTTAGGTATATTCAAAGAAAAGCAAAGCACCCACTGGTTGTTTTTATAGAATGCATGCATTTTTAAAAATTGATATTTGTGTATTGCCTCTTGGATCTTCCTTTTTTATTGAAAGCTATAGTCACTTACTACCCATTAATACTATTTAATTCTCAGGTATATTCAAAGAAAAGCAAAGCACCCACTGGTTGTTTTTACAGAATGCATGCATTTTTAAAAATTGATATTTGTGTATTGCCTCTTGGATCTTCCTTTTTTATTTCTAGATCACCTGTTCAGAACATTGCTTACAGAAATATTTAAAAATGACACAAAGAATATCCATGAGATTTCAGGAATATCATATTCAGCAGAATGAAGCCCTGGCAGCTAAAGCAGGACTCCTTGGCCAACCACGATAGAGAAGTCCTGATTTGTGGACTTTCAATGAAAGATTGCCAACAGCTGTTGCACTGGAAATGTGGATTCATCTGATAGAATGCCCTGAAAGCAGTAGCCACAATGTTAAACCATCTGTCGTGACTGTCTGGCAAATGGAAACCACTGGAGAAACAAAATCTATTTACCAGGAATAATCAAGATAGAAGGTCTTAATGTTCAGTGAAAATAATAAAATGCAACATTTGTTGAGGCCTTAAGATTCAGCAGTTGGTCACTTGATTAGAAAAATAAACCATTGTTTCTTCAATTGTGACTGTTAATTTTAAAGCAAAATATGTGTTCAATCATGTATGAGATATAAAAAATTTTTTATTACTAAAAGTAAAATAAATGGAAACATCACTGATTGTTTATACTATATATACCATATAGCATTCTGACTTGACTGTGGATACGTTGAAATGTTTTTCAGTCAGGATCATCCTCCCAGCATTCCTGTTTATTCATTTCTGCCTCAAATTGCTGGTGAATACATAAAAGAGTTACTTGCTAATCATTTCAATGCACAATTCTTTTCTTACCTCCCTTCTTTTGTCAGGGTGGGCATTACACATTCTTATCCTAGTTACATTTTCATATATCTTCAGGAAACATCACATCTGAGACTAGCTTGAGAATATTTAAGACTTGACTGTTATGTTCTAATGGAGTCTGTTTTGTTGAAAAGCTGGGAATCCAACACAAATGATTCTGAGACTGACCAACGATATACAGTTTATTCTTAGCCATGATATGTAGTCTAATAAAAAGTGAACCAAAGTTAAAGTAGTGTCTTCAAG